TATATATAAATATATATATATTATTATATATAAAAAATATATAAAATTATATATATTTATAATATATTAAACTTTTATATATATAATATATATAATATAATATATATAATAAATATTATATATTTTTTATATATATTATATAATATAATAAATTTATAATATATATATATATATAAATAAATAATATATAATTTTTATTTAAAATTAGTAATTATATATATATATATATATATAATATATATATTTATTACCCCACCGGCCGATTCCCACCAAGGCGGGGTGGCCCCGAAAAAAAACTTTCACCATTTCACTCCATCACTGTCTTCCCAAAGAAGGGTGCTTTACACTACAGTTTTTAAACTGCAACATTAACACCCTCCTTCAGAGTGCAGGCACTGTACTTCCCATCTCCAGGACTCAAGCCCGGGCCCTGCCGGTTTCCCTGAATCCCTTCATAAATGTTACTTGTCACACTCCAACAGCACGTCAAGTATTAAAAACCATTTGTCTCCATTCACTCCTATCAAACACGCTCACGCATGCCTGCTGGAAGTCCAAGCCCCTCGCACACAAAACTCCTTTACCCCCTCCCTCCAACCCTTTCCCTAGGCCGACCCCTACCCCGCCTTCCTTCCACTACAGACTGATACACTCTTGAAGTCATTCTGTTTTGCTCCATTCTCTCTACATGTCCGAACCACCTCAACAACCCTTCCTCAGCCTCTGGACAACAGTTTTGGTAATCCCGAAACCTCCTCCTAATTTCCCCAAACTACAAATTTTCTCTGCATTATATTCACACCACACATTGCCTCAGACATGAAAATCTCCACGCCCCCACCCTTCTCCTCGCTGCAACATTCATCCCCCACGCTTCACACCCATATAAGAGCGTTGGTAAAAACTATACTCTCATACATTCCCCCTTTGCCTCCAAGGACAAAGTTCTTTGTCTCCACAAAATTTCCTAAGTGCACCACTCATCTTTTTCCCTCATTCAATTCTATGATTCACCTCATCTTTCATAGACCATCCCATATATATACATTATATATATATATATATATATATATATATATATATATATATATATATTATATATATATATATATATACATTATATTATATATATTATATATATATTATATTATATACATTATATATATATATATATATATATAAATATTTTAAAATATATATTTTATATATATATATATTTTATATATAATAATACTTATATATATATATATATATATATAAATATATTTATATATATATATATATATATATTATATTTTATAAAATATATATATATATATATATATATAAAGAGAGTGGGTGAGATGTTATCAACAAATTTTGTTGAAAATAAGAAAAAGTTTTGGAGTGAGATTAACAAGTTAAGAAAGCCTAGAGAACAAATGGATTGTCAGTTAAAAATAGGAGAGGAGATTTTATTAAAGGGAAAGAGTTAGAGGTATTGGGAAGATGGAAGGAATATTTTGAGGAATTGTTAAATGTTGATGAAGATAGGGAAGCTGTGATTTCGTTGTATAGGGCAAGGAGGGGAAAAACATCTTGTAGGAGTGAGGAAGAGCCAGTTGTGAGTGTGGGGGAAGTTCGTGAGGCAGTAGGTAAAAAGAAAGGGGGTAAGGCAGCCCGGGGTTGATGGGATAAAGATAGAATGTTTAAAAAGCAGGTGGAGATATAGTTTTGGAGTGGTTGGTGCAATTTTTAATAAAAGTAAGGAAGAGGGTAAGGTACCTAGGGATTGGCAGAGAGCATGCATAGTTCCTTTGTTAAAGGCAAAGGGGATAAAAGAGAGGGGCAAAAATTATAGGGGGATAAGTCTGTTGAGTATACCTGGTAAAGTGTATGGGTAGAGTTATAATTGAAAAAATTAAGAGGTAAGACGGAGAATAGGATAGCAGATGAACAAGGAGGCTTTAGGAAAGGTAGGGTGTGTATGGACCAGGTGTTTATTGTGAACCAGATGAACAGGGAGGCTTTAGGAAAGGTAGGGGGTGTGTGGACCAGGTGTTTACAGTGAAACATATAAGTGAACAGTATTTAGATAAGGCTAAAGAGGGCTTTTGTGCATTTATGGATTTGGAAAAGGCGTTGACAGGGTGGATAGGGGGGCAATGTGGCAGATGTTGCAAGTGCATGGTGTAGGAGGTAGGTACTGAAAGCAGTGAAGAGTTTTTACGAGGATAGTGAGGCTCAAATTAGAGTATGTAGGAAAGAGGGAAATTTTTCCCAGTAAAAGTAGGCCTTAGACAAGGATGTGTGATGTCACCGTGGTTGTTTAATATATTTATAGATGGGGTTGTAAGAGAAGTAAATGCGAGGGTCTTGGAAAAAGGCGTGGAGTTAAAAGATAAAGAATCACATATAAAGTGGGAGTTGTCACAGCTGCTCTTTGCTGATGACACTGTGCTCTTGGGAGATCTGAAGAGAAGTTGCAGAGATTGGTGGATGAATTTGGTAGGGTGTGCAAAAGAAGAAAATTAAAGGTGAATACAGGAAAGAGTAAGGTTATGAGGATAACAAAAAGATTAGGTGATGAAAGATTGAATATCAGATTGGAGGGAGAGAGTATGGAGGAGGTGAACGTATCATATATTTGGGAGTGGAGTGTCAGCGGATGGGTCTATGAAAGATGAGGTGAATCATAGAATTGTGAGGGAAAAAGAGTGAGTGGTTTGCATTTTAGGAGTCTGTGGAGACAAAGAACTTTGTCCTTGGAGGCAAAGAGGGGAATGTAAAGAAAGTAATGTTTTACCAACGCTCTTTTATGGGTGTGAAGCGTGGTGATGAATGTTGCGCAAGGAGAAGGCTGGAGGCAGTGGAGATGTCATGTTGAGGAAAATGTGTGGTATAATATAATGCAGAGAATTCGTAGTTTGGAAGTTAGGAGGAGGTGGGGATTACCAAAAATGTTGCCCAGAGGGCTGAGGAAGGGTTGTTGAGGTGGTTCGGACATGTAGAGGGGATGGAGCGAAACAGAATGACTTCAAGAGTGTATCAGTCTGTAGTGGAAGGAAGGCGGGGTAGGGGTCGGCCTAGGAAAAAGGTTTGGGGGGAGGGGGTAAAGGAGGTTTTGTGTGCGAGGGGCTTGGACTTCCAGCAGGCATGCGTGAGCGTGTTTGATAGGAGTGAATGGAGACAAATGGTTTTTAATACTTGACGTGCTTTTGGAGTGTGAGCAAAGTAACATTTATGAAGGGATTCAGGGAAACCGGCAGGCCGGACTTGAGTCCAGGAGATGGGAAGTACAGTGCCTGCACTCTGAAGGAGGGGTGTTAATGTTGCAGTTTAAAAACTGTAGTGTAAAGCACCCTTCTGGCAAGACAGTGATGGAGTGAATGATGGTGAAAGTTTTTCTTTTTTGGGCCACCCTGCCTTTTGGGGGGAATCGGCCAGTGTGATAATAAAAAAAAAATTTAAATATATGTATAATATATATATATATATTATATATATATATATATATATATTATATATATATATATATATATATATATATATATATATATATATATATATTAATCTCAATTGTAGGCAATTACTAGAGTCAATTATATCTGATAATTAAGAAGTCGTCTTGATAAGCATAATTTGACTAATGACACTCAGTATGGATTCACGAGGGGCCGATCCTACCTAATTTACTAACTTCAGTATGCTTTGAGGCCGTTGTTACGATAAAGAATTCGATATTGTTTATGTGGATTTTAGTAAGGTTTCTGATAGAGTACCACACCAGAGACTGTTAAAGAAAGTGGCTGCTCATGGCACTGAGGGGAAAGTGCTGTCATGGATCAAGTCATGGATCACCAACAGGAAGCAGAAAGTGTCCATAAATGGGGTAAAACCTGCGTGGGGATCTGTGACAAGTGGCGTTCCACACGGATCAGTTTTAGGCCCGTTGTTGTTTATAATATACATATAAATGACCTTGACGAGAGAATTACTAACGATATGAGCAAATTCACTGATGACAATAAGATCGGTAGGATAACTGATTCAGAGGAAGATGTTACGGAACTTCAGGAGGATTTAGACAGTTTACGAACTAGCCTTGAGTTCTACAACTCACTCGCAAGGTTCTGAAGATCGGGATCTCAAATATCTCACCGTGAAACATAGCCCAACATCTCTCACTACCACAGCAGGCGTCTACACATGGGGCCCCCCACCTACTGCTCGAGGGCCGTATGTGGCCCTCCTAGGAAATGGATGTGGCCCTTGAAATTATCAATTCACTTTTCTGTGGATTCCACACTGCACAGTGTCAACAGTCACAAAATGTTTGAAAATCATTCTACACGAGAGCTTTTGCCTGGTGGCGAAAGCTCTCGTTTCACACGGTGAAGGTCCGGGTTCGATTCCCCGTGAAGGGGTGGAAACATCGGACGTGTTTCCTTACACTGGTTGTCTAGGTTCACCCATCAGTAAAATGGGTACTTGGGTGTTAGTGGACTGGTGTGGGTCGCATCCTGGGTGTTAGTGGACTGGTGTGGGTCACATCCTGGGTGTTAGTGGACTGGTGTGGGTCGCATCCTGGGTGTTAGTGGACTGGTGTGGGTCACATCCTGGGTGTTAGTGGACTGGTGTGGGTCACATCCTGGGTGTTAGTGGACTGGTGTGGGTCACATCCTGCGTGTTAGTGGACTGGTTTTGGGTGGGCGCATCCTGGGGTTTAGTGGACTGGTGTGGGTCGCATCCTGGGTGTTAGTGGACTGGTGTGGGTCGCATCCTGGGTGTTAGTGGACTGGTGTGGGTCACATCCTGGGACAAAACTGACCTAATCTGCGGGAAATGCTCAGCATAACAAGCGGCTTTCTATATAGTAGTATGTCATTGATGTCAGCTATGGTCTGTATACCTTGTACATGTACTGCTGGTAAATAATGACATTATTCTTATATAGTGTAAATTAACTCGGATAATTCCCCTAAAACGTCAAAGTGACTTATTTCCGTTGTGATCCATGGGGGAAAAGTTGGCGAACTATTTAAGTCTGCCTGAACGACCATAGAAACCCCAGCAAGAGACACGACGTTAGGTACGACTGTGTCCTCCACAGGGAGGGACATCACTTAAGGTACGACTGTGTCCTTCACAGGGAGGGACATCACTTAAGGTACGACTGTGTCCTCCACAGGGAGGGACATCACTTAAGGTACGACTGTGTCCTCCACAGGGAGGGACATCACTTAAGATACGACTGTGTCCTCCACAGGGAGGGGACATCACTTAAAATACGACTGTGTCCTCCACAGGGAGGGACATCACTTAAGGTACGACTGTGTCCTCCACAGGGAGGGACATCACTTAAGGTACGACTGTGTCCTCCACAGGGAGGGACTCTCATTAAGGTACGACTGTGTCCTTCACAGGGAGGGACATCACTTAAGGTACGACTGTGTCCTCCACAGGGAGGGACATCACTTAAGGTACGACTGTGTCCTTCACAGGGAGGGACATCACTTAAGATACGACTGTGTCCTCCACAGGGAGGGACATCACTTAAGATACGACTGTGTCCTTCACAGGGAGGGACATCACTTAAGATACGACTGTGTCCTTCACAGGGAGGGACATCACTTAAGATACGACTGTGTCCTTCCACAGGAGGGACATCACTTAAGTACGACTGTGTCCTTCACAGGGAGGGACATCACTTAAGTACGACTGTGTCCTCCCACAGGGAGGGACATCACTTAAGGGTACGACTGTGTCCTTCACAGGGAGGGACATCACTTAAGATACGACTGTGTCCTTCACAGGGAGGGACATCACTTAAGATACGACTGTGTCCTTCACAGGGAGGGACATCACTTAAGGATACGACTGTGTCCTTCCACAGGGAGGGACATCACTTAAGGTACGACTGTGTCCTCACAGGGAGGGACATCACTTAAGTACGACTGTGTCCTCACAGGGAGGGACATCACTTAAGATACGACTGTGTCCTCCACAGGGAGGGACATCACTTAAGATACGACTGTGTCCTCCACAGGGAGGGACATCACTTAAGGTACGACTGTGTCCTTCACAGGGAGGGACATCACTTAAGGTACGACTGTGTCCTTCACAGGGAGGGACATCACTTAAGATACGACTGTGTCCTTCACAGAGAGGGACATCACTTAAGATACGACTGTGTCCTTCACAGGGAGGGACATCACAGGATAAAACAGAATGATACAAACTCCTCCCCACCCAACAAGATCTTAGACGCCGTCGATGTCTGGAAGTCTCGCTAATACCGTCATCGAGACCACAGAACACAACAGATAATACAAAACGTCAACAGAAGTCGCATGATCTCATTTCCTACCTGACATCATCTCAAATATGTCATTTCTTCAGGCCCGGTGGCCTGGTGGCTAAAGCTCCCGCTTCACACACGGAGGGCCCGGGTTCGATTCCCGGCGGGTGGAAACATTCGACACGTTTCCTTACACCTGTTGTCCTGTTCACCTAGCAGCAAATAGGTACCTGGGTGTTAGTGGACTGGTGTGGGTCGCATCCTGGGGGACAAGATTAAGGACCACAATGGAAATAAGTTAGACAGTCCTCGATGACGCACTGACTTTCTTGGGTTATCCTGGGTGGCTAACCCTCCGGGGTTAAAAATCCGAACGAAATCTTATCTTATCTTATCACTCGCACCTCATTCCCACCGGGTCACCACAGGTGGAAGACCCAGATTAAGACCCGTCCTGTACCTGTGTGTGCTAGTAGTGACTGAGGTCCCAGAGGCATAACATGTCATAATATGTGCTAGTGTTTGTTTACCTGTCTTGTTAAACCACTGTGTTGATTTCACTTACCAAGATTTATAATATTAATTCTTTATTTTTCAGGAGTGAGTCGCCGGTCTCTCCTCGCGAGAGATTCCAAGATGCTCGCGATAAGTTCCGTTCTCTGGAGCGTGATTGGCAGCGTTCTGATCGCCCTGAGTGCCACGCCCGCCCTCAGGTGCACGCGGGTGTCTGCCGCACCCCGTCGTGGGAGCACAAACCCGGGGCAGGGGGCAGGGATACCCGCGCCCCGCACGAACACGCAACTCGCGACGAAGGAGTCTGGCCGAAAAGCGACCGCGATACTGGGTACGGCTCTCGCGATGGTTTGTTGCGGGAGCGGCCGCGAGGCCGTGAGTACGACCGCGGATACGGTACGTGTGATACCCGGGATTCCGAGCCGTGGCACTGTGCTGGTAGCCCCAGTCGGGTACCTCGTGGTCGTAGTCCCACTAAGGACTACAGAGTACCACGGGTCAAGTCCCCCGAACGACCCGACTACCACAGAGCCAAGTCCATGCACGACCTCAACCAGCGATCCGTCAACGAAGATGATCCGCGAAGCTGTAACGATCCTCGCAGACGATCCATGTACGACACCGCTGAGGATCCCAGACCGCTGCGAGAGAGTCGCTCCGACAGAAGGTATCGCTCGCAAGCCAGCCTTCGCCGGCGGAACTCCTGCAGTTCCGGTTCCTGCCCCTCCGTGGACAGCTACAACGAAATTCCCGATACCCGAAGATTTCCCGGCCTGGACCGGGCCACGGCCCGCCCGGACCCTCTAGAAACCACACGCGGTCCAACCCACTTCATCCATGTTAACAAACGAACGTACGACTATCCTGTCAACGGCGGCACGGCTGCCGTTCACATCAATCGTGCCCAGCATGACGACTACCGTCGTTTCCGCTACGACCACACGACTACGCCACAGTTCATTCGTACGACCTCCGTGCCTGCTGCTCACTATTAAAACCACCTTGAGAAACAAGACAGCGCGCAATAAAGACCGTCTTTGTACATGTATGGTACACAGTACCCACAAGATGTAGAACTAGACATGTACGCAATATCTGGGTATCTTTATTGTAGACCTTTCGCCATCCAGTGGCTTTGTCAATACAAATTCGAGGACATAATGAGAAGATTGTAGACTGTATAGAAAAGACGAGGTAATCAGTCCCTGAGTCTTGGAGTTGGTGATGACCACCGTAGTCTTAGAGGCTCTGAAGCACAGACAGGAAGACTGGTGTTTATATACTGGCGAGACTTCCTATCTGTGCCTCAGAGTCTTCAAGACTACTGTGGTCATCACCATCTCCAAGACTCAAGGACTGATTACCTCAAACTCTTTCTGATCTTCAACCATTCTCCTCTGTATTGAACTAAGGACGCCCAAATGGTACGTTAAAAACGGTATAAAATACCAACAAACTGAAGATTAATGACACGTACAACAGTTAGGTATCGTTATTGTTGAAGTGTTTGGTCTACCCAGCAGAGTTCTTCAGTCAAATACAGAGGCAGAAGATATAGTGAACTCTGGTATGATGGAATTATACCCAAGTGTTGCATACATGTCTAATACATCACATGTGTCTTGTTTATCAAGTGGTCGTTACAAGACAGCATCATCCTGCTGTCGTCACCAAGACAGCATCATCCTGCTGTCGTCAGACCAAGAAATCATACCTGTGTCGTCACCAGACAGCATCAGTCTGCTGTCGTCACCAAACAGCATCACTGCTGTCTTTCACCAAGACAGCATCATCCTGCTGTCGTCACCAAGACAGCATCATCCTGCTGTCGTCACCAAGACAGCATCATCCTGCTGTCGTCACCAAGACAGCATCATCCTGCTGTCGTCACCAAGACAGCATCATCCTGCTGTCGTCACCAAGTAGATCTCGACAAATATCTTTTCAATGTATTTCTTTGCCTATATACTAATAGTAGAATATACCCACACGTATGTGAATAAGATACACCAAGCAGTTTACGCAACTTCCAGGATATATGTATGTATAATATTCGCCCAGACCGGTGTTCTTGCACGGGCTCTGTAATGTTGCAACTTGTGCTACTCAAGCACTGTTCTGGTCGTTCATCTGGTGCGTCTTACAAGCGACAACGCCGTCTGTAAAATGAACATTGGATCAAACATATGTTGATCCTCCAGGATCCATCACCAGAGAGGTAGTTGAAAATATTAGAGATGGTCTCTAAAATAAACACATGTGATGATTAAGACACACATGCAACAGTTGGGTATCTTTATCGTTGATACGTTTGGTCTACACAGTAAGCTTCTTCAGTCAACTAGGCAGCAGGTGTTAGTGAAATGAAGATGGAATCAGTCTAACCTTGGAGAAATAGCGTTTGGGGTGGTCAGTCCCTCAGCTTGGAGAAGAATTCTGCTTCATATCGTTCCAGACCATGGAGGTGAACTCTTCTCTGAGGGACTGACCACCTTGTTCCAGACCATGGAGCTAAACTTCTCCTGGCTGAGGGACTGACCATCTCAAATGCTCTTTCTCCAAGGTCGATGGACTGATCACATAATCTTCACTTCACTACAACACCTGATGTCTGTATTAAACTGAAGAAGCCTACTGTATAGGCCAAACATTGCAACAATAAGACATCCAATTATTGCATATGTGTCTTCATCTTCAAGTTATCAGCATCTGCTAAAGAGGATCCCAGAATTTAATCGAAATATACTGACCGATTATTGAGCATTAGACAAATAATGAATCCATTGCCCTGAAGGTTACTTTCAGGGGTCAACGGCCCCCTAAGTCTGGCCCAGACCAGTCCTCCTGGCGGATCAAGCACAGCCAAGCTAGAGAAGCACTGACTTCAAGGAACTTGAAGTTGCCTCTTGAAGACAGCCACAGGGGTGTGTGTGGTAGGTCCCCTTATGCAACAAGGGAGGGCGTTGAAGAGTCGGGGATCTCTAACACTTATCGGGTTTTCTCTTAATTTCCATAGCTAAGCATGGTAATATTTATATCCTGTGCCATAAGCAGCGTAGTGTATCTTACTCCCATAATTCTTCCATAGCATGGCCAGCCTCGCCTTGTCTTCACAGCTTTGTGGTTCCTGGCTATACCTAGGTCATGCTTTTTGTATTTGAGGTGACACATTTTTAAACTGTAAATCTGTTTGCATTAGGGTGTTGA